AATTTTTTTGAACACCTTGTGTCACAAATATGAGCACTACCAATGACATCCATGATATGCAACACTTGTGTCAATAATTATTTTACCTATCTAAAGAAATCAACAATAAGAGGCAGTACCCATCTAAGGATACACAATCTGTATAATGCAATTTTTTTAAACATAGGTTTTGATATCGTACCATATTGGAAGTCGACGCACAAATCTAAAAACATTACTTTTGAGTTTTTGAATTTTCCCATTCCAAGGTGATATAAAATAAATAATTAATTAGGTAAATTCATAGTTTTAATTCTAACTTGATTTATTTTATTTAACATTTAAGGCAAATGTGATTTCCAAACACAAGATAAGTTCCATATCTCTTTAATTACATAACTGAAAGCATTAAATTTATTTAGCAGTTATTATTTGGCAACAAAGTCACCGCTGGAATTGCCGCCTATTAGCAAGTAGAAGAGTTACCACGCTAAATTTTATAGCTGGAAGCCGGCTAAGGAGACCCTGCTTCCATTTCGGGTTGCCAATTTCCAGCATTTAAGTAGCAGTCTGTAGCGATACGCTATATTGTCTGTGGTACAACCGTGTTTTTTACACTTTTAGGTTAGTAGATCTCTAAAATCTGATAAATGATAGATCAAATTTATTGTATTTGAATCAGGTTTAGAAGGTTAGTCATATTTTGTCGGCCTATGTTATTGATGTATGGTTTGTTTCTGAAATTATTTACATTCCTGTATATTGGGCAACAAAGTGTGTACTGGGTATCCAGAAATCACGAGCAAAAAACTTTTAAGATTATTTAAGAAATATTGGTGTAAGATCTTTTGACATTACTATCTCAGTTTTTAAGTTAATGTTAGTAGTAGGTAATTCACTAAATATTACAAGGGAAATAACAAAATATAAATTCATTTATGTGTCAATGAGAATTTGAGGGAATAAGGTAAAAGTATTCAGTACACTTTTTTACAAATTTCTTATTTAGAGAGATGGGAGCGAATATCAATCAAAAATTAAAATCAATATCGTTCAAATCTAAAACAAATAAAATTTTCAAAATTAAATAGCTTCATCTGGAAGTCTCAACCATTTTAGAGAAGTAATACACATATTGTATGACTATACATTTCAATACCTAAAAAGAAGGCAAGAAATACAGGGTATTCAGTTACTAATAAGGCAAATAATATGTAGCAATACATTCTGTGATGAAAAATGAAGAGGTTGTTTATAAAAAATTTTGTTGGAAAATGCTGTTTCCAAGATACTGGGTACTGTTTAAAAAATTTAAACCATTTTTTAATTTCACATAGAGGTTACCAAAGTGGACCTCACTCATCATATACAATTTCATGTAAATACAAAAACTTTACTGTAGATGTCTTTTTATATAGAAACAAATGCTAGAACAAATAACTATATATTTAAAAATTTTAATGATTTTTAAATTAAATATGCATTATTCTAGATACAACAAATGGATATCAAATCTTTACTGCAGTATTTTGGAACATTCTAACTACTTAACACCATGTTTTTGCTTAATTTCCAGTTATATTGATTATGTTTTAACGATTTGAGGCACCTTATCTTACAAAATTTTATTGAACAAAAATAGAATATTTATTATATATCTTAACATAAGATGTGATAAAATTAGACAAACTAAGAAATGAAATTGAGAAATTATATGAAATTAAAAGTTCGAGTATACAATAATAATTTATACAGGGTGGTCCGAATTTTATGCAGGAAACTTCGAGGGTAGATAGATCTCTTTAAAATAATATGTGTTTGCCTTATAAACATAGGTCTGGAACGGCCCCGTTTTAGAGATACAGGGTGTTGAGGTTTTAAAAAAATTGATTTTATGTTTATATCGCACACTACCTCACAGGTGGTGTAGAAAGGAGTGTAAATAATTTTGTTAATGTGCTTACAAATTGCACTTACTGTTAAACATAAAAAAATATTCTTGTAATATNTGTTTATATCGCACACTACCTCACAGGTGGTGTAGAAAGGAGTGTAAATAATTTTGTTGATGTGCTTACAAATTGCACTTACTTTTAAACATAAAAAAACATTCTTGTAATATTATCGTTAGAAGTGTCTGCCACAAGGGGACTGTATTGGTATGAATAACTTGAGAACGGCGAATCTTAGTGAAAAAATTAAAGTCACTTTTTTTGCGTATTTTGTGCATTAAAATATAAATCAGTTACAATGACATATAAAAAATGCAGTGGCGTAGGTTTTTTTCTAAAAAAGGGGGTGACCCCTGTCCAGTTGTACACCACTGGTTGAACCTTTAGGGCTCATATTTTAGGGACTACAAGGCCTACTATAATACATTATCTGTACCAAATTTTATTGAGATCGGTTAATAGATTCCGGAGATATAAATAAAAAAACATTTTTTTTTGACAACTTCAACACCCTGTATCTCTAAAACGGTGCCGTTCCAGACATATGTTTATAAGTCAAACACATATTATTTTAAAGAGATCTATCTGCCCTCGAAGTTTCCTGCATAAAATTCGGACCACCCTGTATATCATATGAAGTTTGATGTAGGTAATGTTCTTAGGATTCGTGGATTCATTCCGGTTTCATTATGGCTGAATAAATTCATTGATAATATAATTAGGTGTAATCTTAAACTGAAATGTTAATTATAACTTTGATTGACCGATTCATTTTACCTCAACATTTTATATCTCCGCAGTAAGTTTAAATTTAGCTTAATATCTTTACAGTAAAGCAAAACAATAAAATATTCTACTTATAAACAAGACATGCGGATCTTATAGAGCCGTTTTTTAAAAAATTCTTAGTCCTTAGGTGTTTGTATAACTTCACTTCATACTATAAATATTTAATAACAGTAATAACAATTAGTATAATCTTTATCAAGTCTCTGTCCTTTTACGATAAACTTCTAAAATAAACTGTGGTGTTCTTACACTTATTCTTATTTTTTTTTACAAAAAACGGTTATTGAGAGCTGATATATAATACCATCTATATTTAATCGCATCATCTATATGACATTATTTAAATAAAATCTGGTAGAAGCATTTCAGTGAAAGTTTCCCAATTCTAGTTTGAAGACTACTGTGTTATTATACTCAGCGATAAGTCACTTTTAATTAATTAAGGCTTGCTCGAATGAAATAACTGCATGTTATGCAGCTTTCCCGTTAATTACAAAAATTGTATTCGCAGATAAGTAAATGCATTTCCAAATTATTAAACATATTATTCTAAGTGAACTTATCTATTATTATCAACCATCATCGGTCTACAAGCAATATTTCAGTCTGTTTGTCTCACACTTGTCAATTAATCACCAAATGCCTAATAATCACAACCAAGTTGCCATTCTACAGACTGTTTTTTTTTTTTGGAGGAGTATTAAATCACCTTTTTTATATTTTATTGACCGACATAAACAAACCTTTTTATTTGTTAAATAGTTCAAAATCACGGTCAACTGCGACATATTTTATTACTTTTTTGTTAAAATTAGATAGGTCCTATTAAGCACTTTTTTTAAAGAATATATTTTGAACAGACTCAGAAGCGTGTTTCAAATAATTAAGAAAGGTTTGTTATAGTCCGCTCTCTCTAAACGTGGCTCCAGGCGAGTCCGAATACTGAAATTCGATTTTAGTAAGTATTAACGTTTTTACGATAGTGTTTACATTAGTTTTTCAAGTGTCAAAAAGGGCTTACGTGTATAGCAACTCAGATTTATCGTTTTAATTTATGGTGAAACAAGCTACTGTGTTATGGTGAAGCAAGACAACATTTGTGTTAGTTCTTAGAAACCGTGTAACGTGGGCCCAAATGTGATTACACGTCGGTAGACAACACAGTTGTTGTAACATCAGGTATGTCAAATTATTTTATTAATTAAAATCACAAATTAATTTTATTGACTAATAATAACAATAGGAGCAAAATCAGTTGAATTTGCTGATATAAAATAGGTGTTATAAAGTTTTAATCATTTCTTGCCTTGGGAAAAAATTATTCCAATTTTTTGTCCATTGATTTTTTATTACACTTTGCTGCCGTGCCCGTCGCCGGCTGCATGCTTTGTCTTGCGTAAGGTCAGTTTTTACAATGGACCAGTTTCCAGTGTCATGCAGAAGAGTATTTTTAAATCATTTTCGAACTGACCTTTTTGATTTTTTTTTTCAAAATTGTATTTGTAAGAGTCCAGTGTACATTCAAAAAATTCTTCTTGCATAAGTTCTGAATCACCCTGTATATCGGTTATAGCTCGAAAGCTAATAATTTCTGTTTTGCAAAGTTTTATAGATATAAAGAGGAGTGGATTGCTCTAAGGATATCGATTAAGTCTCATAGCCTACTGCCTGCAAAAACCCGGTCGGATAATGAGGATATGCGGACTAACCTGGTCCTTTTCTATGAAGCCGATGAAAGCCGTTCGTTCGATCTCCACGGGCTGGCCCGCACGATCGTAGAGGGCGATGACGAAGTGGAAGAAATTCGACTTTCGCAGGTTGCTTGGCGGCTGCTTCTCGAAGTGAGCTCGACCCACTGTAGTCCTGAAAAAAAAAGTTGATAATAAGAAAGAATTAAGAAAGTATTACAGAAGGTTTTAAAATTAATTCTTGTCGCGGGAAGATTTCATTCAACTGTAAAATATGACAGTTCGAAAATGAAAATCACGCGCTTCAGAGCAATTATACAAATTTTATACTTTGTATAATCTCAGTATATAGACAATTGCACCAATATTTAAATGAATCATAAAGCGAAATCAATAAATTTTATTATTTGTTTTAAGTAGTAAAAGCATAATTAAAAAATCATTTTCCAGTAGTTTAGTTTTATCAAAAATTGCATCACAGTCTCTTTAAAGATAGTTTTTGATATAACTTGACACATGTTTGCATTACAAAGAAAACATTAATGATTAAAATTAATTGCAGTAACAACAACGTAGTTGGTGTCATTTTGTTAACAGATTCTATTTTTTAAGAAAATCCTTATCTGTTCGTAAATAGAAAAATAAATACCTTTTCTTTTCCCATATTGTTTGCCCAAGTTCATTAAAATTATGGTTAATTTTTTCATTGCCGTTGTTGCTCATATTGAATAGCTTCTTTGAACAAATTAATTTTACAGATTTTTTATTTGCTAATATTTTTATCGATTTCTGTTTATGTTACAAAAATTGCTTGGAGAGCAAGAGAATGTGGTCTTAACAGATTTTTCTAAGGCATTTGACCATCTACGGAATTCTACTGCATAAGCATAACAAATGTGGTCTTCTATGTCATCTCATTCATGTTTCTTTGATATGCTTCAAAACATAGGTTTCAGAGGTTTCTCATCGCATATCTCTCCAGTCATTTATGGTGTTTCTCAGGGATCAATACTGTGTCCATTGTTATTCAACATTTTCTTAAATAACCCTTTTAGCTGTTTCAACTTATATGCTGATGATATACAGGCTGTCTACTATAAGAGGACTACTCCTTTGTATCTCGCTTAATACACGATGCACGTAAAAAATCTTTATATGCTTTTTGTTGCATTTTTTGAGGCTTTGATGCTTGTAAAAACAAATTTTAGATCCGTGACCAACTTTGTGAGAAATCATAAAAAAACCGGAAAAGTACCGAAATTTTAGGGCCGACTAACTTTTTTATTTTAAGAGATAGAAAAAACTTATTTTAATAAAATTTCATGGAAAAATTGATATCTTTCACCTGGTGTAAACAAATTTTTGAAGTATCGTACAAAAAAAATTGTCATTGAAGCAGGTTGTGGATACAAAAAATTGCTTGTTTTTTCCTGTTTCATGCGATGCCTTTATCTTTTATATTTATTACATTTTTATTATTTTGATATCAAAAATGTAGATTAATGTATAGAACAGAATGTTTTAAACATGTCAACTACAAAAAAATCTATGAATATAATGTACTTTTTGTAATGTAAGCTAAGAATCTGTAATATCTGTCACCCATCAATTTACCATCACAGAAGTCCTATGATTTTGGTATCAAGAATTCTAACCCAAATGTTTACTAAAAACCTTTGTTTGAAGTAAATGTTCCTATTAAAAAATCCATTGTTAAAAAATTAGGCACATCTGACCAGAAAATTCTTCTGCATATAAAAAGATTTTCCCTCTTTCTTTCTTGTCACCACCTACAGAACCTTAATCTCCTAGGTTTATTTTTCCCCCTTAAGCTCAAGAGGTGCACTTTTTTCACCTTATAACATTTGAAATCATTTTTTCGTAATATCCTTCTGGCACTGTCCATCTCTAAATTGTAGTTTACTTCAATCTCTCACTATTTTACTCATTTTTCCTATTATAATTTAAAATTCTGTTAACAACAGCCGATTTTTATTAGCGAAGGTTCTCTACATTCCGCAAGTGCTTGAATATAATTGAAATTGCATTGATAGTACAATACAAACATATTACACTTCTCAATATGTGAAAATATCATTATTCAAAATTTTAGTTTTTCAAATCATTGTTAACTGTAACAATTTCCAAACCAACAGTAATGTATAAACTATAACAATGAACAATTTGTTAAATAATAGGCTTTTTTCGCGAGTGAATATTGGTGAATACGTCTGACTTGTAGTTACTGTTTCTATCTCTTTTAATCTTATTTCTAACCTTGTCTAACTTGAACAGATGGCGAAAATGTATATATTCACTATTCAGTGATATGTAGTATGTACTTTGACGACTTTGACATATGGGTTTTAACTTCTAACCAGTAACCATAATTTGTCATCATTTATTGCTTCCAGTAATCTAGTGTTGTGGGAATTGGTGTTATGTCACTATATAATATATGTATTTGCTTCAAATAAAACTGAAGGAATATATCAATGCTTTCTTTGGAATATTTTTAAGTGGCAAATTTAAAAAGCGTGAAAAGTATGTAGATTCTGACGTTGCAAGATATGCGAATATTCGACATAATCGTTATCGTAAGAGATAGGTTAGGTCGGTTTTTTATGTAATTCATACGAAAAAGACTTGAATTACAAATGATTCCACCAATATTATCTCTGGCCTAGGTCACAAAAAAAAAGAGGATAATCCTGAAGCAAAGTGGATTGCAAATATGTCCCATATAAAAAATTAATCTTCACCATCAAGTAAAATATTTGCTGTTTCAACGTCTATGTTTACTAAAACATCTATGCCTCTAAAGTTTAAATTTAAACTGGCCACTTCCACAACCATATCAGAATCCATCATTTCGCTGAACGATTTTTATACTCATTCAAACAAAATGTCAAAAAGAAAAAGGTTAAGTTACCAGCTGACAATACTAGTTGAATATACCAACAGAATATTCAGCTGAAGGGTGAAGAGTTCAGTCATTTGATCTAAACTTGTGACGTCACATAGTAGTTTAAATGACTGACTATTCTCGCAAAAACGTAATATTCACTCATACTACACATACTACAACATACGACTTCACTCGCGAAAAAAAGCCTAATGACGTTGCTGGGATAACACATTTGTTTTCATAGCGTCTACATTTAACGTATTTGTCTGTGCAAGAACAATGTTGAAGGCTCTAAAGTAAAAAACCAATATTATAATAATGTGTGTATTTTGCTTAAAGGAAGTGCATTATATTTATTAAATATTTTATAGTTGACACGTGTCTACAATTTCTAAATTATAAAAAATGTAATTAATATAAAAGATATAGGCAACATGTAGAATATTGAAAGAGGAAAAAACAAGCAATTTTTTTGTAGCCACAGCCTGCTTGGATGACAATTATTTTTCTGATAATACAAATAAACCAGATTTTATTAAGGATTCAGTTAAATCTCGAGGTTGGAATATTGCTATTTTATTTGGATATCAAAAAAAAAAACGAAGTAAGAGCCTATTTTTTTAGTGTTCGTGCCTATTGTGCCTATTTGTTTAGTGTGTGTAGTAGTGTTTAGTGTAGTGTTTAGTAAGTGTTCTTGCCTGCTTTTTTTTTCTTTATATTTGTAAGGTTTGCTCTTGCGTGCTATCCCATTGAGCAGGTGGAATTTTTTAAAGGAACCATATCATACGATATTTCGAGTTATTTTTTACAAATCGCTTTCATCATTAACATATCCTGTTTGAAATTCTTTTCCTTCTTCACCCAAACTGACAATTAAGCGTACGTCCTATCCTATATACGCTCCCATTGACTAGAGTCATGAATAAAGCCGCCCCACAAAAACGCGAACTCCAATTATCGCAGCCGGATTCGCGGGCCTGTATATTTAAACGTCCGCGCGATTTTTCATACCGACAAAAACCCGAACGACCCGTTTTTTTCTGATGTAAAATTAATAGGAACAAACGTAGCCCGGCGTTTACCACCTTCATTAACGCGAAGGCATAAATTATCGCGTCCGCATAACTCACTGGGCCCGGGGCAGACGGTGGGGCGGCGCGCGCCACCCCACGGCGCCGCTGCCCGCCGTCGAACATCGCCATTGATCCGGGACCCGGAACCATGTGGACATCGGTAGAATTCCACTTATCACAAAGAAATGAAGTAAAAAAAAACGGAGATATAGAAAAATAATGGCGTAGACCAACGAAAAGTCAAAAAATAGGCAAAACGTATCGTGAAAATAAAAAAATTGTGTATTTCCTTCGTCAGAATCTAAATATTTTTCACAAAACTGTTGAAAAATCATAGAATTAAACAATCATATGAAAATTTTTAATTTTTCTCGGATATCAGGTTTTGAATGAAACTTATACTCAAGATGTAAACTAAAAAATTTCAGTCAAATTTACTCAATTTTACTCAATAATGTATCAATTTCTCTCCACAACCGATTGAGTGGAATTTTCACTCTATTAGTACGAGTAAAACTAAAATTTTATTAATGAAACAATTGCACCAGAAGTCAGTGAAATCTGAGTTTCTGCTATCAAGTGAGTGACTTTTTACTCTATTCTGAGTATGTAAAACTATTTAAAAGTTGACTTTGTTCTTTGTTGAGTTAACTATTATTGAGTAATTTTGTACTATGAAAATTCCCTCTCCCCCACACGAGCCGCCGCTACTTCAATTTCATTGTGTTTTGCAACACTTTATATACTCTTTAAATTTTAATTTAAATATCATTGTATTAAAGTCATAAAATGTAGCCACAGTGGTTTCTACACAGCTCTGTTTTAGAAACAAAATATTTTAGGTCTCCATTACAGGAGTTGGTCGGAAGAATAGATTGGCCATAACCTATATTGTACTTTACAAATATGTATGTAAATATAATTTAACTATCCGTTTATTTAACTAAATATTAATCGAAACTCAATACATTATTGTTTAATTATTATAATCAAACCACTGCATTTAAACATAATTTTCACCAAATAATCAGATTAACGGACATTTGTCCAGCACTACACGCCATACACCACGCCATAAGATGACCTAATGAAAATATACAAAGACAACCATAGAGTGGGGTGGGGTTACTCCTATTTAGCTACAAGTGTACCAAATACGAGTTTATTTACAGAATTTATTTACGTATATTTGAG